CACTCAAATTAAGCGATTTTACCTTGAGAACGTATAGAACACCCAAATTAAGCGATTTTACCTTGAGAACGTATAGAACACCCAAATTAAGCGATTTTACCTTGAGAACGTATAGAACACCCAAATTAAGCGATTTCACTTTGAACATGTAGAACCACTCAAATTAAGCGATTTTACTTTTAAACTATAGAACCACTCAAATTAAGCGGTTTTATCTTGAACGTATAGAATTGAGAACTAGTGAAAAAAGTATAAATTTCCAAACGCGGAAAGATGGAGTCGTCAGTTTGGGAGAATGAATGGGGGGGGGGGGGATTGGCGAAGTTAATCAAGCTTGTGAGACATCATTCCATGCATGATAGTTACATGGTTTGACTTTGGTCTGTGTAATGATGAGGGTGTGGGAAGCTGTGTGTGTTCCCACCTAGTTTCATATTAAAAATGCCAACTTGGATGACGATGGAACAGATGCCGGCTAACCATGTAACCATCAGCGGTGCTATACTTATTAGTTATGGCTCGTCTGAATATCACTATATTATACTCATGTGGGAATGGCAAGAACGGAGGTTCTCATGTGAAAAGAGCTTTTTTTTTAATCGTTACGTGACGTCGACATACCTTCTTGCTAGCTCGTGCCGCGTGCAGGAAACAGTCACTCGGTATCGCGCGAAGTGGTATAGTTCAGGTGATGAGGAGACAACACGTAATGCGAACAGAAATCGGCTTCTGTGGGAACCAGCAACAAATGATTAAAAAACAGCTTAGGTAAGGGGCGGACATTCTTGAGCGAAATGAGTGACATATGCTCCAATGTGCCACACAAGCCGGGAAGGTGACTGTACCAATAGGCACAGAGGAGGAAATGAGTCGCTTCTATTCGCAGTTTTCATTTTATTGCTAAATTATTATATACTATTTTTTTTTTGGTTTTGTTTATTCCTCGTGTATTGCGTATTGCTCTGACTCACTATTTTTAATGTATACAAATAATGTTGACTGTTTTTTTTTTTAAGTCTCTGTTGACGACAATTGGCATAATAATAAAATTTAATATTAAAGTCAAACATATACATGGCCCAGTGGTTAGGGCGCTTCACTTGCAATCTGAGGGTCGCAGGTTCGAATCTCCGTCCCACCAAACATGCTCGCCCTTTCAGCCGTGGGGGCGTTATAAAGAGGCGATCAATCCCACTATTCGTTGGTAAAAGAGTAGCTCAAGAGTTGGCGGTGGATGGTGATGACTAGCTGTCTTTCATTGCTAAATTAGGAACGGCTAGCTTTACGCGAAATTTAAACAATGAAACATACATACAAAGAAACTATTAAAGAAATTAAAAAAGTTATGAAATCGACAGAATTTAGAAATAATATAGAGCTTCTTATTTTAATCGTTATATTAAAGCAAAGTTTTTAAAACTAAGTTTTTGATTCTTTAAATGTTTCGTTATCGCGTAGCTACCTACAACCCGCAGCTTAAAACAATGACAATAAATCATTTTTTAAATAAAGCTTTAAAGTGGACATTTTGTCTGTAAGTCTACATTGTTGTTTTTAAGCATTTCTACTTAAAAAAAAACAAAACTTTTACTCATCTTGTGTTTTTAAACAAGTAACAAAGTTGACTATTTTCTATAAGTACTCCAATTACGACATTTAGGTAAGTAGTGTCACTGTGGCACAGGACAGAACACCACAGTATGTAACTGGAAAACATGAGTGATTCTATAGAGCTGTAACAAACTACCAAGGTTCAGTACAAGTAAGGTTAAAGTTTCATATGCATTGTTGTTAGTAATGTGGACATAATCTAGACTGGACACGAACGTGTGGACAGAATCTAGAGTGGACACGGACGTGTGGACAGAATCTAGACTGGACACGAACGTGTGGACAGAATCTAGAGTGGACACGGACGTGTGGACAGAATCTAGAGTGGACACGAACGTGTGGACAGAATCTAGAGTGGACACGGACATGTGGACAGAATCTAAACTGGACACGAACATGTGGACAGAATCTAGAGTGGACACGGACGTGTGGACAGAATCTAATCGACGACTGTATGATCTGTTTTAATTAAAACGTTTTGGAACAAGAAGGTAAACTTCCGTCAACATTAGACAGTACTAGTTTATTTTTAGCGAATTGGGTTTGTAAAATATGATTAACTTTTAATACAAGCTACCAACTCTGTCGCGTTGTTTCTATGTAATATAGATGATTTGTTTGTCCTAACATGTTATTAGAAGAGGGGATGTCTTGGTTTCTAAATTTTTGGTAAAATCAGTCCCTGTTTCGGTCCTTTCGACCTCAGATACCGTCTTTCTGGGGAGGGTCGGTCTTTTATGGTGTACTTTTCTTGTAGCTTACGGTATTCAATAAATTATTTTATAAAATAAGTGTAGAGACGAAGAATTTAAGCAGAATTTCATCTGTTTCTTTATAAAAAAATAATTGTTAACAAGCATTTAAGTACGCACGAGCAGTTATGAATATAACACATAAAACTCGTATTTACTGCTACTAAGTTTTAGTGATCTTTCTGGGCCTATCGGACATGTTTTCCATAATTCTTTATAATTTCATTATTGAAAAATCTATTTTTTATCAACCACCTTTTCTTATTATATTTCCCGTATAGCATCGCACACTCGCCAGGTATGATTGTAGAAGACTACAAAGTAATTGTCGTTTTCTTCGCGAAATTACCGGGTGTGCGACATATACTAGGAAGCTGAACAGTTATAGGAGAGGGTTGTGTGCGCAAACCGAAAGTAACAATAAATACACAGGGAACTTTACCCATCAGTTGAAAAAAAAATACAAATAACCCTTGGCATAACAAGGTAAAAAACTGTCGATTCTCAGCTCGTTATAACAGTACCTAAATCGGTAATAAGTCGATCAATACTGTGTCTGTTGTGACGTAGCCGTTCTGATGACGAGTCATGGTATTAGGCGAAAGGTCTCGTCGGCGCTACACATAGCAAATATAGTGTAGTTGAAATACTGTTATAAATTTTTATTTACTTTAACCCATAAGTTCTTGAACTACGTAACATAAGATTAACCAGTAGGAAGTTTAAATAATTTTCGTCAGTTTTAAATGATAAAAATGTGCTATTTTTTTCAATTTTACATCCAGTTATTATCTATCAACTGTAATGTTTTATGTGAGTGATTTTATGATCAGCTGCTGTATATGAATATTCAATCTAAAACAATAAATAGGATATCATTTCTTTTGTGACGTCTTCACAGTGAGTAACCGAAACAATAAATAGAATACCACCTGTTTTATGACGTATTCACTAGAAACAGAATATAGATCATCAAGATTATTAGTTTGGTATTTTACTGTTTCTCTAAATTTTATTTGTTTCTCTCAACATTTTATGAAACCGTGGCGTATTCCAAGGATTTCAGATTATAATAGTTTCTTTTTGAAGATGCAGTTTCATCCTTGAAATGTTGAATAAGAATTTTATCTGTCTCGTTCTGATCTGATGTCAACCATGTGAGTGGCTCTAATGTATAGATTCTTGAATTAACCCATTCTTCACCTAAAAAAACTGGTTTCTTCCTAGCTGTTCTTCCTTCTCAGATGACCGGGCGTAGCCTAGTGGTTAGCATGTCGGATTGTCGCTTCGAGAGAACATGGTAGGTAGCGGTGGGAATTGTTGACCAGTTGCCTTTCCTTTAGTCAATCATTTTAAAATTAGATACGGCTAACTTGTGTAGCTTTGCGTGAATATCCGAAATTAATATATAAAACATGCCAAAGCCTAATCTGAGTTTGTTTCAACTGTCTCTCAAGCGTCATCTGGTACAGTTGTTATCGTGTTTTAAACTCCAATCTAGTGGTTCTTCCTTCCCTGAACCCAATCTGAGGTTGCTCCAACTGTCTCTCAATCACCAACTGGTACAGCTGTTATCGTGTCTTAAACTCCGATCTAGTGGTTCTTCCTTCCCAGAACCCAACAGGTTGCTCCAACTGTCTTTCAAGCACCACCTGGTACATCTGTTATCTTGTTTTAAACTCCGTTCTTGTGGTTTTCCTTTCCCAGAACCTGATCTGCTGTTGCTTCAACCGTTTTTCAAGTACTACCTGGTACATCTGTTATCTTATTTTAAACTTTCTTGTGGTTCTTCCTTCCCAGAACCTGATCTGACGTTGCTTCAACCGTTTCTCAAGCATCAGCTGTTATCTTGTTTTAGTCTAGCAGTCCTTCCTTCACAGAATTGTTGTTCAAACTATCTCTCAAGCATTGTCCGGTCATCTCCAATTATTTAGAAAAGCTACTAAAATATGCTTGTTTATAAAGCTATTCATAAAACGTCCTTGATTTTTATATCTATATCTGGATTGTTGAACTGGCGGCTCGCGAGCCAGTTTGAACCGGTCTAACCTACCAAACAACAATTTGAAATAACGAACCCAAAAATAGGATGTATGTTTAGGGCCTATGATTTGAGGCTTAGTTGATTAATCTTTGTTAACTGTTACTGGACTACTTGGGTGTTTACTACCAATAAGCATGAATAAAACCGTGATAGGTTTTTTTTGTTTCTTTCATTCATTATAAGTAATACTTTGTGATCCGTTACTAGTTGGACAAACCTGATGTAAATAATAAATTTTTGTTCAACTTGTTGTTAAGCTTAAAGCCGTGGCGATATGCAACTTAATTACCATGATTTTACTTGGGTGGGCGTTGCATATATATATACGTACATACAAACTGCACTCACGCACATACACGCTCACGAATTAAATACGTGAAGTTTGAAGTTGTTTGAGCGTCAGCTGGTTTGGAGGGGTGCCCGGACACTGAATGGAACAGCAATGTGCTTATTGTTCCCACGATGTCAGCAAGGCATCAGTTTCCCACGAGTGTCTGGTGCCTGCAAGTGGTCGCAGTCCAGTGCCTCGCGCAGTTGGGGGCTGTTAAGCTTGGACTGATGGAGTTTTTACTTGGGAGCGGGTTTATGATGCTACCGTGTTTGAAGAATGAGGATTAATGTCTTGATAATTAGTAAGGATTCGTCAGATAGACACAGAGTGAGGGAGGATGTGATAGAACACGGTACTTGAGATCAAAGTGACTTCGGCTTGTAGGAGTAGCACGTGTTGGGAAGGCTCGTCATATACGTACAAACGTACGTGTATGTGCGCTACGGCTGCATCGTATAGAATATTTATTTTTTTATTTCGAATTGTAGAAATTTCTCTCGTGTTGTCGTGTAACGTTTTTGTTTAGTTTCGTAACGGGAAAAAAGGTGCAACGTTAACTTATGATGAATTGAAAACTCTTCACCGTGCGATAAGTAACACATCATGATCGAGATAAAGCGAGAAAGGTTTGAAAGTTGTCAAGAGGTGGACGTGGGAGTCATGGGAAATAACCACGCATATATGACTGAGGTGAGTCATGAAAAGTCAAAACACACGCGATCTCAGGAAATGACTACAAACGTAATATCACGGTCAGTCCAGAAAGCTGCTAAACTTAAAAATCAAATGTCATCAAATTAATATAAAGTTTAACTAAGTTAAGCTGTAAAAGTGTGACAACTGATAACTGGGATTTTGGTTAGTGAAACCCTAAGTATTTAAATTGATAATTTATATAAAAAATAAAAGGGAATCTTAGATATTATGTGGATATCCGTTTTAAATCAGGTTCGAATAAAAATTGTTTTTAATTTTAACTTTCCAGACTTTTAATTAAAGTTTAATTATGAAGTAGTCCGAACAGTTTGTATTGCCCAAGCTATATGTGTATATACTTTGATATAGTTTACTTATATTGAAATATAAAATGCGGCGAAATTAGTTTCATAACTTTTGTTATTGACGTTTTTAAAACAAAATCCAGTGCGAAAATGAATATGTGGATAGATAGCATGCATTGGCCTGAAAAAAAGTCACAGGAAAAACGTCAGAATTCTCGCTAGGAAAAAAGTCACAATTTTGGCTAAAAAAAAAAGTTGACTTTTTAATACTAAACACAATGTAAAGTAATACAGCAACAAAAAACACGTTTAGGTTATTTATTGCAATAATAGCATGATATGTAACATTTTATGAAAAGTACATGACACATTAATAACACAACTTACAAAGTAAATGAGGAACAAGGCTACTAGCCTCTATTACCACTACCTGTAGAACACGGTTTTACATATGACCCGAGGAACGTGATGCCTAACCTGACCTCACATGAGATCAGTCCAGATTACGATCCTGGATGGCTCCTCTGACATTTCGTACATTATATATATTGAATTTACTAACACATAATCTGATCTAGGCATTTCTTCATTAAGATTCATAGTGTCATGCCTTTTGATCAAACAACACTCTACAAACTTGACAAGTGTATTTAAATATAATGTAGAGTCAAGTGCACTTTTCGGGCATATACGATGTCAGTCATCACATGAATGTATGGAATAATTTAACTTCTATGAACTTATAAATATTATAAAAATATACCTTCAAATTGTCTTTTTTTCTTACATTCGTGTCTGCTGGTTATGACGCCTAACGTTTCTCAGTGTTTTTGCTTCTTCTGATTGCTAACACTGATAGTGATAACTTTTCACACCCCTCTCGACAAGTTTGCCTCTTGTACATTATTAAGAGTAAGACAGGTTATAAACATATAATTTTAAAGTGGAGTTCTTGCTTAGCTTTAAAATTCGAATGAGATAATTTTACGTCAGGTATTGAACCTTGCCTTTAACAATGGGTGGAGTTTGACATTCTGTCATGTTAATTGTTATACAGAACGTTCGATGGCTTCTTCGCTATTATAAAAATATATATCGATAAAAATAACGCATTTTTTCATCAAGTAATTATCGCTGAAAAAACAAAAATCTAAAAGATGTAACTGCTTACAAAGTGTTACAGATAGATGGTGGTTAACTGGTAGCACTCGATGTTTGTAACATAGCTTCGTAACTGCGTATGTTTGCAGTTTGTTAATAAACATCGAAAAGAAGGCGAACCTTAGTTATATATATTTAACAGAAGATGACGAAACTTATTCACCGTAACATTACAAGTTTTACTGTAGAAGAGTTGAACATCTCTACTATACGATATGAAAACAACATACTTTCTGTTTCTCATCCCCATCTGTTGATAACCGCTTAGTTCCAGGTTATTTTTATTCTTTTTTTCATCCCCGTCTTTTGATAACAGTTTATTTCCAGGTTATATTTATCTGTTTTTCATCCTCGTCTATTGATAACAGCTTAGTTCCAGGTTATATTTGTCTGTTTTTCATCCTCGTCTATTGATAACAGCATAGTTCCAGGTGATATTTGTCTGTTTTTCATCCCCGTTTATTGATAACAGCTTAGTTCCAGGTTATATTTGTCTGTTTTTCATCCCCGTTTATTGATAACAGCTTAGTTCAGGTTATATTTGTCTGTTTTTCATCCCCGTCTATTGATAACAGCTTAGTTCCAGGTTATATTTGGCTGTTTCTCATCCCCGTCTATTGATAACAGCTTAGTTCCAGGTTATATTTGGCTGTTTCTCATCCCCGTCTATTGATAACAGCATAGTTCCAGGTTATATTTGTCTGTTTTTCATCCCCGTCTATTGATAACAACTTAGTTCCAGGTTATATTTGTCTGTTTCTCATCCCCGTCTATTGATAACCGTTTAATTCCAGGTTATATTTGTAAACTTTTATGATCGTCATTGTATTTTCTATGATGATAATAATAATTATGAGATTTCCCAAAAAATCTTAAATCCCATAACTAATATTTAAAGAGTTTTCACATTCGAGTTATACTGTATGAGACATTCATGTTTAACCCTAATGTTTTAGAGTTTGACTATTGTATTTGAATTTGTACAACTGGATTCGCCTGGTTCTCCATGACCGGCATAAGTCCTCTCCTCAGTGTAATTTATGTATATGTGTTTGCATGTGTAACGTACGAATACTTTCATCCACCTTAGGGTAACGACCGGATATCACGCGAACCCAACTTCCTGCCCGAACCGTGACGTTTAGGCGTGTTGAGTCCAGAAGGGCGGGAAGTGAAATGGTCATTTTTATAGAGTGGTCAGAGATTAAAATACCAAGTAATCGTGAATGTTACTAATACTTCTGATAGACTAAATATACACTATAAAATGGTAACAATTACTAAAATCAAAACTGAACATATATCAATCGAATTGCAACTGAATTATTTGTATGTTAACTGCATTGTTTGTTCTATTCTCTTCCTTGTTTTGTCCGAACTTCAGCCCATAGAACACAAATGAAACCAACTTCGGGTTCTTCATCTCCTAGACACACTGAATCGTCTGAATAACACCTCATTGATAGAATGGATGACAAATTTTCTTGTCTTTCAGAATTAGTAGGTCATACTGTGGGGTGGGGGGGGGGTGTTTTGCACATTTTCATAATTAATTTAGAAGGGGGAAAAACGACGTTTACACTCCAGATAATTGTAATGGAACATTTATTGTAACCTACGTTTCGCCTTTGCGGCTTCTTCATGTACTAGCCCTAAAGAAACCGCAGACGAAACGTCGGTAAAAGTTAACGTTCTCTTATGATTATCTGGAGTGCAAAGGTCGTTTTTTTCTAACTGTATTATCAGAATGGGGGACAACAGCCCTCGGGCCTTAATCACAATCAGTCTCGTAAACTTCCCTCAGACTCTTTCACGATCAGTCACGTAAGCTATACCTAGTCTCTCTCTCTCTCTCAGGATCAGTCTCGTAAACTACACCCAGAGACTCTTTCGGGGTATGCTGCAATGCTGTAGAGCTATTAAATTGACTGCTTGGAGTGGACATAAACATTCTGATAAATCTAATTTGATGGACATACCTGACATAAACATCCTGATAAATCTAATTTGATGGGCATACCTGACATAAACATCCTGATAAATCTAATTTGATTGACATAATCGTTCTGATAAACCTAATTTGGTGAACATATTTGACATGAACATTTTGATAAATCAGACTTGGTGAAAATACTTGAAATAAATATTATAATAACTCTTATTAGTGTTTCTGTGGCACGGTGTTGCTGCAGGAGTTGCAGTACGTACACGGTGTTATTTTTACATGAAACAATAATAACGTCTGTTAGCAGTTTGCATGTGAGAACTTATGCGAGTAAGGGCAATAATGATGATGATGATGATGCCTTAATTCTGTCCAATACAGGTGACTTGTGAAATGTGGTATCAGTTAAAAGTGTATAAAGATATTTTCGAATTGTATGATTTATAATATATCTCCAGTAAATTATGTTAGTTAATTTGGTTTCGTATTTTAATTTAACTACACTTCAAAAATTTTTTATGCGAAGAATTGCTATATTCTGTCAAATGTAGGAGTCTCGCCGTTTTTCGAATTATTCATTCAGTTTGAAAACTGTTACGCCATCTGGTGCAAGAAATAATTCATTGGACTTCAGAATGTTATAAGAACTACGTTGTTCTTATAAGATCTATTGTTTTACAGTACTGATTAGTTTTACTTTCCATACGGGGCCTGGCATGGGTGCTTGACTCGCAATCTGAGGGTCGCGGGTTCGAATCCCCGCCCCACAAAACCTTTCAGCCGTGGGAGAGTTATAATGTGACGTTGTATCCCACTATATATGTTGGTAAAATAGTAACCAAGGAGTTAGCGGTGGGTGGTGATGGCTAGTTTCCTTCCCTCTAGTCTTTCACTGTAAAATTAGGGACGGCTAGCGCAGATAGCCATCGTGTAGCTTTGCGCGAAATTCAAACCAATTCTCTTCGGCGTTTTAAACCGTCTTGTACAGAATACGCAGCAATTTTTAATTTTTTTATAGAACTTTACCACTTAAACTGTACCGAAATTCCCTGAATGAAATCAGAAAGTTTATTATAAGTTTGATATTTTAAATATGGACAAATATTTATCGTACCAAATACAAACTAAAATAGTTGACTAGTGTCAACAAATCATGACAAAGTAACAACCTCAGAACAGAATATATAACATAAATCAACGACACAATATTAAATTGTATGAACCATCACCACAGTTTCCTCGGTAGCTGGTCGGAGTTGCCTAGTAGTTTGTGTACGGAATTGTGAATCCAAGAGTCCACGGTTTCTGTCCCGATGCCGTAAAATCGCGCTTTAGGACCGCGTGTGTGTTATACGGGTGGATGTCAGATTCTACTGTTGGATTCGTTTATTTTAGCGCAAAGATACCCAATAGACTACCTGCACTTTATCCTCTGGAAGTATCCGAACTCCAGATTGTTGCATAGTATTGTTTGTTGAATTTTCGCGCAAAGCTACACTAGGGATGATTCTACGAGTTGGCCACACATGACCAATGGGCTGCCCACACAGGCTCTAGACTGTCATGAACGGTTTAGCGCAAAT